TGAACCCTAAACACCAGCCTCGACAGACGTTCCGAAGATGAGTCCCTTGCTTTCTGGGGAACTCTCCACAGGGTCCCACAACGCGGTTTAGGGTTTGGGGTTTAGAGTTTAGGGTTTAGGGTTTGGGGTGCAGACCTGGGGGTTAACGACAATCGCCGTGAAAAAGCAGGCTATATTGGCTTCCATGCTAGTTTGAGAAGGCCTAGAAATTCAAAGCATCGGCACCTCAACAGTTAGAAGCATGGGACAGATTCGGTTGGAATGGCTGGAGCCAATTGAAGCCTATAGCCTTTATTATCTAGCTCTTTTCCTGAACTCCACACCCTAAGCCCTACATTTAGCCTTCTTTACTGAACTCAGGACTTTTCGATTCCAACCCCCTAAGCTCCCATCTGCTCGTTGCGATTTTAGGAGACTTGCAGCACGCCGCCTGTCAGCCCACGTATGCCTCATTTCGTTTACTACGAACAGGATAGATAAATTCTGAATGTTGCAAATGCGGGGAAGACGTTTCATGCGGCAATACGTGTCATACCACAGAATACTGCCGGCCCCTGCAATGAGGACCCTAGAATAAGAGTTAGATCATTGACATAGGCTCCTCACTTTGGAGGTAAGCTCCCCTTATGAGGGTTTAGTGTCTAAGGTCTGGAGCTCAAGGTTTCTTGTTGTTAAGGGGATGGAAAATGTCTCAAATCAGCAATCCCAAATAAAGGGTCCCTTCTGGGCAGTCTCTACATGAAGCATTAGCAAGTTTGGGGTACCCTAAGCCCTAGACCCGAAACCCTTAGCCCGAAACCGGGAGCCCCTTCAACCTTCTCTCAACTATCCAAAAGATGCATTTTAGAATCCTCTCTGCTCCTTCCTTGTTCACTCCTTCGACCTCTTCTGAATATTGCAACTGGCCACCCATCTAAAAATGCATAGCCCAATTCCACCATCGTGTGCTAGGATGGGAATATTGTTTGTATTAAGGGGGGGTGGGGGGGCGGTTCATTAATTGGACCCTAAACCCTAAACCCTAAACCCTAAACCCTATACCCTAAACCCTAAACCCTAAACCGTGGGGTGGGGGGCGGTTCATTAATTGGAGAGCAGATTGGGGAAGAGTTGCCAACATTAGCTGGCTGAACTGCTGGCCTAGACCCTAGACGCTAAATTCTACACTTTCGGTCATTACCCCAAAACCCAAGACCCCTAAAGGCCTGTGCTCTACTGGCATGCACAGAAGACTACGTAAGAATTTCTAACCCTTACAACCCCTGCGGGGTTTGTGGTGTTCCGGCACCCTGTTGCACACTGAAGACCATCAAGCCATGAGATGTGTATGTTGGATACTGCCCGGACACTGTAAAACTGACCCCAATACTGTCTTTCATAAACATGCGTCTTTAGCTATCTATCTATCTCTCTATCTCTCTCTCTCTCTCTTTCTCTTTCTGTTGTAGCGCGAAGCAGTACCTACAGCGTATGCATTCTTTCCTACTTGGAGGGTCGGGGAGACTGAGGAGGTAGGTTAATAACCCCTATAAACCACAAAGTAAACCCACCTATCCCCAATATTCGCCTACTAAGTCTCCCCTGACCCCCCAAGTAGGGACTTCTATTCGCGCATAGTTCAGAGAGGCAGCGGTCTCCATCGAGATCTAGATGAGCCATTTTCAATTCTGGCCCCGAAAACAGGACCAAGACGTTCTCCAAATGCATCCTACCTGCTTTCTACCCCAGAAGAGGACCGGCTTGCGTTAAAGCCCTAAAACCCCAAACCTCAAACTACAGCTAGTTCGTTTTAACAACTTGAAGCAAAGGTTCTGCGGCGAAGATCGGATTTGGAGCGCACTTGACGTGGATCCTGGGCTGACTTTGGGGTGATCATGTCTCGTTTGGGGGTTAGTAGGGCATAATTGAATATATTTTCTATATGGGTATTGGTCTAAATTCCCTATAATACGGGGTCCTATATTTGGGTTCCCATTATAATACGGGGCCCTATATATATTTCCCCCATTTTGGGAACAGTAATTTAGGGAAACTACCAT